GCTCGGCCCAAAAACATCATCCAGCACATAACTTCCTCTAAAACCATAACATGTTTTTACACCTTGGTTTCTACACAGATAAAAAAACAAAACACTTAATTCGTGAGTTTCCGAGGTTACAGAAGGTGTATTTTGTTACTTTCAGACAGCTCAGCTGATGCGATGCTGGCTGTAGCTTTGTATTGAACAGACAGATATGACTTTCAGCAAGAAAGCAAATATGTGTACTTCCCAAAACATCAAACTATTCCTTTAACAAATGTTGTGTTGCTGTAAATTCACACGTCTGCTGCCTTTATTTGTTGTCCCCGTTAAGTCATTTGCTGCATGTATATTGATAATTGAACACGGCAGTGCAGTCAGGTTTGCTTCTCGTCCTATTGCTGCTTTACCTGCGGTGAGACATTCGTGATGCTGGGGTGGACCTCCGATCCATTCGTATGCGTCTCAATCTTGGAGTCGGCCCTCTTCAGCATGTGGGCCATGCTCACAGCACTGGCTTCCTTCTTTGCCACGGGAGGCTGTGTGAAATATCAACAGCGGAGTTAAAGCCAAACAACAATCAGCATTTCCCTGACAGAAAAAAGAAAAAAAGACAAACTGCTTCGGAGCAGCACCGGCACACAACTTTTATTTATTGGATTTATTGTTCAGCTCGATGAAAGCATGCAAATGATGAAGCAGCGGAGGGGGAATTAAAAGAAACACTGACAAAAATAAAGCGGGTGAAAAATCCATGAATTAATACGTCAACAAATAGAATAACACATCGAGTGTGGGACAAAATTAAGCATGAAAAGAATTTCACAAAATTCAAACAATGGGAAATGATCCAACAACAACAAAAAAGGTAGTTATGGCACCAAGTCCAGCCAGGCAGGGTGAATCCAGTGGGTGATGATGACTTTCATCCGTCTACCTCGTGATGTGCTCCCTCCTCAGGAAACTTCTCCTCCATGGGAGACTTGTCCCGGGAGCCCATGAGACGGGCGGAGTAGAACCTGGAGTTCTCCTCGAAGTCCTCCCGGCCCACCTCGGGCTGTCGCTCCCTCTCTCCCATCTCCGACATGCACCTAGAGAAGTCCTCGGCGCCGGAGTGGAGGTCCATGATGACGGTGAAGTCGACCTCGGCCTCCAGGCTGGATGTGGAGCTGACCGTCATGCTGGAGCACTTGCGCTCGATGCCCAGGTGGGTTTCCCTCATGCAGGCCACCGTGTCCCGCTCCTGCTCCTCCTCCGAGGCCAGGCTCGGCTGAGGCCTCCTGTCCCCGAGCTCCTTCTGGGGCGGGTACAGAGGGTAAAGGACCACCGCTCTAAGGTTACAAAACTGCAGACGGAGGGACGTCGAAGATGACATGGGATGGGATGGAGGTATCGCCCGTGTGTTTGAGGGTTTCGTGTTTGCTGGGATTCATGGAGGACTCACAATCAGAGCCATTGTACATGCAATGTATCCTGAATATACAGCAAAACAAATCATAGGGCATGCAGTCGTATCAGAAATCAAAAGTTTTATAACAAATGTTTTTAATTACAACAGCGGCTGTTAATTAGAAAAAGTAAAGGAAAATATGTCTACTACAAGAAATTACGACGTTTTCTAGTCTTTGCTTCTTCTTCAGTGATTCTGAAATCTCCTAATTTTTTCCAGAGCTAATAGAGTACATATCTTAATGAACCAATATATTCATAATTCAGTTGAGTTACAGACATGGATATTCAGACGCACAGTACTAGAATAATAATAAATGTTTTGGACATTGCAGTTTCCCAGTCAGCCTGAAAACTTTAACTTCATTCTCAATTTCATAGCATCCGGAGTCTCTACTCTCTCTACAGGTTACTGAGAGCTTTCAAATAAAACGAGGGAAAGAATAAAGTACCGACATGCAACCTGCGATGAAGGGGTGAAAGGCGAAATTCCAAAAGTTCGGTTTTAAAGGGATATTTCAGGTGTTTAGAAGTGGGGTGATTATCCATAGTCAGTGTATTACCTTCAGTAGAGACGTGGGGCAGCACCAACACATATATTAGACACATAAAAGAGTGTGTGTAGAGGAAACTTGTCTATGCTCTCTTCAAAGCAATCCGTCGCCTTTGACAAACACAGTATAGACTTTCAGTTCAGTTCCATGTCGGAGATTATTCTAAATATAGCGTACACTTAAACTGATATCGCTTTGCTCGTGTGTTGGTACTCCTGTTTCTCCAAACTGTGGCCGTGTGGAACGCCACCTACTGTACGTTATACACTGACTACGGATAAGTAGCAAAAACACCCAAACTATCCCTGTAAGGGGTCACCAGGCAAAGAGGTTGGGGACCCTTGAATTACAATGAAGCTCCTGCGGCACTTAATTTAAAGTACTGCCGCTCGTTTTAATTACACCAACACTAGGTAATTAGATCGCAGTAAAAAAAACTAGCTCATGCCAGCAATAGCCAAGCCAAGGTTCGTTATCCTACCCACACATTCTATATTCAAACTCACGATGATGGATGACTGCAGCTGAGTAGCCAGTGAAAAGTAACATGCTTCATCCTTCATAGCTATTATTTTCTTTATACACAAACTGGTGCAGTCAGGTGGGAGGCGCGCAGTTTACCCGCGAGCGGCACAGAGAGGAATGAGGGATGATGGGCGGTGCGTGTGAAGGTGGGTTTAAATGCGAATGAATAACCTTGAATTCAGCGAACGGCTCTTCATAAATGGCGGGAGTAGTGACGGGCTCCTGCAAGGGGGGGGGGGCAGAGAAAAGAGCAGAGAGAGCATCCGAAGGTTAGCACAAGCTGAAGTGGACAGTGGACAGACAGACCACCACACAAACAGAGATCTGAGCGGCAGAGCTTGACTGGAGCCTGAACAATATGAGGGCAGCGTGTTCAGTCCGAACCTAAACTGGGATGGTTAGACTCCAAATCTATATATATTAGCCATACATTTCAAAGTAGCTAATAATTCAGTGTTTTTTTTTTTGTATTTTTGTATTTCTTTTGAATGACTTAAAACCCAAGTTTAGGTAAGAAATTCAGCCGGACCCAATCGAAGCCCACCGGGTCTGTTTAGATCCAGTCAGGTCCAAATGGATTCAGGCACAAATTTCAAGCACTACTTACGATACAGTTTGGAGGACAGAAAAGAAGTGAGCGTACTGCAACAGAAACAACATCTACAGCCAGGTTTACTCGTTAGAATTAGCAGAGGGCAGGACGAGAGAGAGTCATGCATTGTATAATGAGCAGGTTTTCAGCAGAGCAGCATTGACCAACTGAGAAAGTGTTGCAACACTACGCACCTTGAATTTCAATCATGTTGTATCATATATGTGAAATAATAGTGTTAAATGTCCAATGGAAGGTGCCGTGGTGCATTTCAAAGCCTGTCAAAATGGGGTCCACGTGTTTGAATGAGCGCCTAATATTTTCCCACACTCCCCGAGTTCAATCTGATTCTCGGTATGATTGTCACTCGCCAGCGAGGTCGTTCACACGCTGCGAGTTACGCAACACCTCCTCCCGTGCCCCGTTTAATCCGATACATTGCGAGAGCTTGACTCAGATGAAAAGGTGGGAAATGATGGAAGCTGTCATGTCTACTCGCGTCAAATTCCCTTTCATTCCCTGCCGGGCCAAGCTCCTAATGATACCAACAGCGAGAATGAAAGCGGCAAATCTGACGGTGTCGGGCACTGAGCTGGGGTGTGTGTCTGCTCACTGCCTGCTGGGGTTTCACAGTTGGGGCGGAACCAATGTGTTTACCGTTAGTTTTCTAAGCGGAGGAGAGTAATGCGTCTGGTTTACTATCACCAACCGGAAGGATCGAGGGATATTTTGCAAATCCGTCAGTTCGTCAGGTTGATGTAGTTTCTCAGTCATTTGTGCGCCAACCAATTCTATACCCCATTTATCTCTAATTTTGGGTAATAATAGCTGCATGTCGCAAAGTAATGGATGGCAGTACTTTTTAAATTAGCATGCAACAAATAGTTTGTTTTGTGTATTTCCAGTTTTTGAAAATGGCACGGGGAAGTGTAAAAAGAAAGAATCATCGGAGCGATGATAATATGAAAGCCTGTCTTTTGCGTGCCAGCCTCTTGACGACGTGAGCTGCAAAGAAATCTGAGGCTCACAAGTAAGAGAAGGTGAAGACAAACCAACCACCAGGACATGAGATATTGATTTTTGCCTTCTTTCTTTTTTAGTTTATTCTAAATTTCACAGCCAGTGGTGAGCTGTACAGATTTGCCAGACAGCGTGGTGCATGTTGGGGCGGGGGGGGGGGCAATGGGAGGGGAAGAATCGGGTTGCCGTATGGGAAAATGTCCAAACTTTTTTTTTTTGTTTTTGACAGACTTGACGGAGCAAAGGTACCACTCCGCCTGCTCTTCAAACAGGCACGAACAGGTAAGATGGATGAGTGTTTCAAGTCACTGAAAACGTGGGGGGGGAAAAAAAAAAAAAAAATGGCGTGCGAGTCTGTCTGAAGCTCATGCGATGCTTTAACTCCAATGACTGAATAGCGGATGCCAAGCAGAGTTACCGAGTGTCTCTTCTTGGCTGCGTCCAGGCTCGGCTCCCTGCCAGCGTTTCGGCTGTTCCGCAGTATTAGCCCAGACTCCCGGGCCTTCTGCGTTTTCACCGGCGGGGCTGGGGGAGCCATTTTGGGAAGCGCCAAAATCTTTGAGCCGAACGACTGACTCTCTGCGGGTATTCTGGCAGAGTGGTGACCATCATCAGGATGATCCGTTTTAGCGATACCCTCCAGATCTGCCGCGAACGCCGGCTGGAATGCGGCTGCGGCGTTGTCAGTCCAGGCGAAGTCTAAGGATCCCTCTGGAGAGCCCACCGACCAGCGGTGTTCTCTCCTGAGGGCCCGTGTGAGCTCGTCCTGTCCCGTATCGTCCCTTTCGTCCTTACATGCTATGCTCTTGGACCGCTCTGGCTTGAGAGGGACGATCCTGGAGATCTCCGACTGGCAGCCGCTGCCTGACAGCCGGTGGAGGGACGTCCTCTGTCCTCCCGTGAAACCCTCCACGTCCTCCCCCCCGGAGCTACTGACCTTCCTCTCGTGCGTCCTCACCTGTCGCAGCTTAACCTCGGCTAGCTCTTTGTTGTCGATAAGGCCCCGCCCTCGCACCTTTGTCGCACACTCCCCTTTAACACCCGCCAATGAACTATCATCTATCTTTCCGAGTCCGTTCACCGAGTCTGAATCGACATCAGCTGGCTCGACCTGACTCACTTTTCTCTTTACCTGCTCTGCTCCTAGAGTGGAGTCCACCCTGCTTTCTCCTATCGACATATCCTCTTGTTGGCTGTCTTGAAACACCCTGACAGACTGATCCTTTCTTGATCCCTCATCATCTGTTATCATTTCCGCGGGCGATGACTCACAATGATTTCCTGTTTTGGAGGTTTTTTCTGGACCGTTGTCCGACTCTGAGCCCTCACTCTCTTCTTCAGTGGATTCGCCTCTTCCTTTCTCATAGATGAGCTCGGCAGGCATCCCCAGGTTTAAGCTCTGGGGTCTCCTCTTTTTCCGTGGTTTAGAAGCTGTGCGTTCCTTTATCTGCCTAGAGCCGGGGGCCACGTCATTGTTTGCCTCGGGGTCTGAGGCTTCAGGTGGTTTGCTTTGAGATTTGTCTTGAAAGGAGTCTGCGTTCTCCGTTAATTGAATCACGAAACGACTTTTGTTAGCCGGCCGTGGCTCAGAGCACTCATCTGCCTCTCTGGACGATTTTGTTGATGGAAAATCATCAATATGGCTTTTCATTTCTTTTCTGTCATACCCTGTTACCTCTTTATGTATCATCTTGGCAATGTCTATCTCTCTTTCCAGCTCCCTTTTCTCCCATGACGAATCAGATGCGAGAGATCTGTTCTTTTCTTCTGCCTTCCAGTCATGGTCCTGTTGATAAGTTTCTTGTTTGTCAATCAATACCCACTCCTCAGAGCCCTACATGTTGGTATAGATTAAACACAGTTAGACATGCCAAGCACAGCTGCAAAAAAAAAAATGAAATCTATACAATCATTTCAATCACAGTAAAGGGAACAAAATGTAGACCTGGTACATGAGGTATAATAGGGCTGCAACTCACGATAGTTTTTCATTTGCGATTAATCTGCAGATTGTTTTCTCGATCAATCGATTGGTAGAAAAGGTCAGAAAATAGCAAAAAATGTCCATCCCTGTTTCTCAAAGGGATGTCTTTAAACGTCTTGTTTAGACTGAAGAACTCAAAGATATTCAGTTTAATATGATATTAAACAGAGAATATATTTGAGACCATAGTTGAGAGGCCAAAACCAAAATATGTTTGCATGAAAAATCACTTTAATGATCAATCTATTATCAAAATATTCTGATCTGTCGACTAATCGTTGCAGCTCTAGAAGTGAACATGAATTTGGGGATTCATTGTACAACATGTGGTGGCATTTTCCTAAATAGATAGATAGACACGTGAGTGACAATGATGCTAGGTAGGCAGTGCATTTCACCAAAACACAGATGCTATGAGCTATAAGTATCATGGAAGAGAAAAGAGTGAGAAATGTGCAACCTCAGGCGAAGCCACCACAGTCTTCTGGACGAAACCCTCAACAGAGAGACTGTTAACAGGGTCCTTCCCCACTGCTTGGCCCGCCGACTGGCCGACGCGAGGCAGAGGAGAGAGTTCGAAAGAAGAGGGAAGAACAGCGGTTAGAGCTCGGACTCGGGGAGGGAAAAAAACAGGGAGTGAATGAATTAGTGAGACGCACAATAAAACCATTTCATGCAAAAGCGAAGAAATGGGGAGAGGCAGAAAGAATCGGTGCCAACAGGTTTTAACTGAGTTATTCTGTAGAAGCTTTTTGATGAGCTTAAAACATGCACCGAATCCACATAACCAAATCAGCAGACATTTGCAATGCAAACGATTTTTTGTAACTACATCAAAGAGCTGAATCTTAGAGCACAGAGACTCTCCCCGCCTTCCACTGTCACTCAAACAGAATAATACACCCCCCCCCCCCCCCCCCCCCCCCCCCACACAAACACCCCCCCCCCCCCCCCCCTTTACCAGGAACGAGACGCACGGCTGATTACATTCTCTGCCGCAGACAACGCTCGACATTCTTCGGCATAATCTGATCGTCCCCAACAGCTTACGAGAGATTGTTTGAAGGCAACTTAGGAACTCGGCAAAAACAAAACCATCCTATCAGAAGACTAGAATCTCAGCGGTCTATCTCCAAAAGCCTCGTCACCAAAACGTGATCAAAGCTCCAAAACTGTGTCACTGTCAGGCAATCAAGGAAAATCCTTGGGAAAAAAAAAAAAGGTAACCGATAATTATTTCTCAAGTGCCTCACATTGAGCGAATCTCAAGAACATCACTTCACTAATCTCATCAAGATGCTCCCCTTCTGTGCTGCTTGTCAGTCATCCTCCAGTACCGCTGAGATATTGTCATCCCGGCACACACCAGAGAGAGGCAGAATGAGCATCATTATACGCATTTCTTAAAAATAAACTGCAGATTTGTGCTGTTTACTCCCGTGAGCAGTAGTCACAGCAGACACATGTTTGAACTGTCTGTAGGGAAACACATTCAATAGCCGTGACTATTCTCACGAATCATATTTTCGGGCTTGAAATTCATATAAAAAGAGCACACAAAACAAGTGTCTTACGCTTGACAAAAATATGGCCTGTTTGGCCTCGAGTCAAGCAGCAATTTGACATGGCAGCAGGCCGGACGGGAATATCAATGCCCTTTAAAGGAATGTCAAGCATCACAGTTGGCTGGATTCGAGATATTGACCAGGGTGACCCCCCCCCCCTACTCCTTCACTGCCCTGAGTCCACTACTCACTGCCGTCTTCTCCGGTGTGCCAGTCGGGGAGGTGGCTGACAGACGTTTCTCACGGTACGGATGCTTGCCGCTCGGCTCCCTCAGGGTTCTCTTCAGCTCGTTGATGCTGGCCTGGTGCTTCAGCAAGACGTCCTTCGACTTATCCAGGAACTGGAGGAGAACGTGTGGAAGAAAGGAACAAAAAAAACAAGACGCAGGCACACGTTAGCAACATCCTTTTGAAAACAGCAGCACTGACGATAAGCATGACTGAACAGGGATGTGCGTGAGCGCTGCGTGTACAGAGGAGACGTTGTGAATTGCTTTACACTTATGTTAACTAGAGATTCTGCTGGTGTTTTACTCCTCTGTGCCGTGGCCCGTGAAGAACAATGGCACTTAAGATGCTATTGAAGTCCACAGAAACCACAAACAATTAGAGTTCCAACAGATTTTGCTTTTAAGAAGATCAAGGCACTCAGTGCAAAGTAGCTGAATGAAGAAATGGATACGGAACACAGCGATACTCAACTTACAGGACGGATGCCGTTTCTAATTCACGATGGGAATAATTACAATGTAAATAAGGTGCCAGAGTGCATAAAAACATCAAAATATTCAGAAAACGAATGCAAATGTGTTTATGACCCCTTCAGATCTACCTCGGGACCTGCTGGAGGGGGCCCGGCCCCAGTTTAGGAACCACTGGAACACTAGAGCTGAACAATTTTGAAAAGAATATCTAATTGCGATTATTTTTGACAGATACTGCAACTGTGATTGCATATGCGATAATAGAGGGCATGATCATTTTTACATAATTATTCTAATTTTCATTGAAAATCATATTAAAATGATTGTGGTGGGATTTTTTTGCGGGGATCTGCACCAAAAAAAGATGTTCTCCTAAATCTGTAGAATATGATGTGTAGGGCACGACAATATTTCATTTCATATGGTTTTGTTAAACACATTTAGCCTTTTAGCTAATATTTGTAATAAGTTCAATGCACTTTCAGTCTATTTTATAGTACGAGACTTCTTATTTAATTTTAGGTTTAAAATATGCATTCTTGATTTTTATGGTAGTTTCTCTATTAAATATTTTCATCTCAATCAATCCATTTTTACGGGCAGATCCTCAATCGCTGAAGATGAAATGAAAATGTCTGATTGGAATGTCCACATAAAATGAAGTGCAAACATCTGACTAACATTCTACATGACTTTTGTTGTGGTGAACACTGGTGCTCAGTTGCATTTTACAACTTCAACTGGTACTTGGAGACTGCGTAGATGCTAAACAAGTGAATGGAAAGAGCCCACAGATCCACAGCGAACAGCATCTTTCAGTCACTGGGCTTGTTTTCCTGTAGAACAAGTACCTCTTATTTTTGGTATTCCTAGTACATGTTGCTGATAATTCTTCTGTACTTTTATTTAAGTAGGATTGTGAATGTCAGACTTTCTCTCCTTTGTTACAGAGGTATTTCACTTGAGACTTTCAAAAGCTTCAACTTGAAAGTACTCTTTGTCCTCAGAGGCCAGACGTGTCAAATTTCTATGATATTCTAAAAGAAATATGTAAAAAAGGTATCCTTTGATCCGAGGGGCAGGCAAAAAAAGCACAAGGGGCTGAAGACGGGAACCTGTACCTCCTGTTTGTGCCGAGGACTGGCCTCCTGGTCCGACTGAGAGAGATGGGTTGGGGCGGGAGGAGGGGCGAGCACGAGAGGTGAAGTGTGCAGGGTCAGAGAGTGCAAGAACGAGGGCAGAGGCAGAGACAGGATGGTAGAAGGTAAGTCAGTCAGAGCACAAGCAGGCAGACAGAGAGACAGACAGACAGGAGGGCAAGATTTGGCCATTTGTTATCATGCCAAGACAAATTTGGAAATACATCCCAGTAGACATTTTGGATGCAAATATACCATCAATATTAAAGTGGAGGTTTGTGAAAGAAATGTCTTTCTTCTAACAAATCACACTGGTTTCTACACTTTCATTTTTGCATGTCATATACTGTACCAATCACCGTCAGCCCAATGTTTGCTGGGATGCTTAACTATGACAAATAAGTCCAGACACAACCTTTGCAGAATCACTTGCTCATATGGTGCAAATTATATTAT